ACCGCAGTTCTTCCAATGTGAAGCTCGTCCAACCCCTCCCCCCCCCCTTCCAGCTCTTTTTGACCCTTTCTATTTCTTTTTGTCCATCGTTTTTTGCGCTTTTTTCGTTGTTATCGCTTTATTCTAGAGTAGTTCTATGAATTCCCGTCAAAAAAGGGTACCCTAAATTTATCGTAAACGGTGCCTTTAGCGGAACCTCATTTTGAATACCAATCGCGTACTCTGTTAACACCCACCAAGTTCCACTCCTTCAGGGGTTGACGTTATGGTGTCCTCACATTCCCGAGCATTCCCAATCAAAAATTTCGTGACCATAAATGCCTTATTTGATCCGCGCGTAAATTCGAGATTCCTTGACCTCGATACTACGAGTAAGATAGTCATTTAGTGAATGCCTAGGCATTTCCATATGCTTGGTATGTGTACACATGCTCATGTATGAGTTAAAGTTAAAGTTTCCTATCCCTACAACCAAAGGTTGAGCATGGAGAAGTGGCGGAATTGTTGGCTGCTTACAAAAGGTCTACGAAAAGTCGAGGTGAACTGATAAGGGCTGATAAGTGGTGTAAAAAGTCAACCAGAACTAGATCAATTACGCATTTCACATCAAAAGTAGACTTCGGTACTTATGTTTGCTATGTGGATTATGACAGCACTGTTTGATTGATGGATGATTAAAGAAATTTGGGACTGACAACTTCGTCGTGCCTATTTTATTACTACGTATTGGTATACACATATACAGGTTAAGAAAAACAGACTATATTCCCCAATCAACTAAAATAATGGGACCTACAAGCGAACACCAGGACGGCTGCCAAGGAGATGGTTAGAATTCTTCATGAAAGCTCTGAACGAAAGGAATGTTTTGCCCGTGTCCCTGGAACGAGTACGATTCACTGGACTACTCTGGCTCGCGACAGGGGCGAATGGAGACGTTACTGGCGCCCCATCGAGGAAATCGACGATCGATGGGAGTACAGGTGATACAGGAGACAATGGGACCTATTAGAAGGCTCTTCCCCGAGGAAAGGAATTTGATGGGGGGTACAAATGTTTCTATCCTTGGCAATGGTTCACCACTACTTCATGATGGTAAGAGTTTCAGAGACTGAAGTTTGGACATGCCCCACCCGCGTGCAGCACCTGCCTACAACGCTCATCCTTGGGGTCATGGGTGTATGGGATTTATGCCCTAACAGGGCTATTTTATGAGTTCGCCACTCTCGTTTTCCCCGATGTTACATTTAATCTGGCTTTCTTAGAGGGACCAGAATTTTTGGTAGTACAATCAAAACAAGTCTAACCTTCAATCGCACGGTGTCGTAGAAAGCTATACCAACATCGCCAATGACATCTTCTGGATATAACCGTCGTCCTGTAGTTCCGTTGTTCTCGAAAGTATTTTTACAAAACATTCACAAAATCCGTACCTTTGTGGTAGAAGGCCTTCCCACGAAGTGATCCTCGATTGATTGCTTTCGTAATTGCTGCCTCCATATAGATTTTCTCTACTTTGTCGGTCGTTTTCACGTATATCGGTATAGCCACTCCAACTTCATTCTATAAGCAATAGGTATGAAAAATAGCATGGGTTTTGTTGTATGGCTTTACCCGTAGTTATAGCCGTTAAAAACGCAGTTCACGATAATCCTGAGGTCCCGTTTTTATCCGAAAACCGGAAGTATAGATTGGGAATAAGTCACCGGTAGTGAAGGAAGCGAGAGAATTCGCCAATTACGAGAAAAATATGGCTCCTCAAAATTAGGGAGAACAGAAGTTGGACGAGATTGCCATGACGGAAATAACACGGAAGGGGTATTCGGACGAGATTTCAGTTATTGCAATTGCACAAAGAGCTGACAACATCAGGCCAGAACTGTAGAGAACTGTCTTTGCTGATGCTATAGGTCATGACAAGTTGTTTAAAATCTCTACATGGGTTCCCTTGTGATCGGTGCAGCCCATACAATGCCGTGAAACTCGTCCGAGGATACACAAAGGCCAATGTTTGAGACTTCATAATTCCCTAACTAGGCCGTTTTCCGACCTAATAGTGCCAGATATGGTATACACGGGGCCTCAAATTCATCCTTTTGGGAATCTCAAAAACCATTTTTAACATGAACTGTGTCTTCAAGGCGAAGCAAACCGTCTGAGTTCATCACTGAGAAAAAATAAAATGTACTGTATAAAAATAAAAACTTTAGCATCACAAGATTTGAAGTAAAACTATAATAGAAGGGGAGCATTACCAGGAACCCCCTCCAGAATGAGACACTTGTACTGAATGTAAAGCCTCCATAAGGAGAAGCAAGTGAAGGATGGATAAGAGAAAAATGATGGAAAATGAATCCCAGTTGAAACTGATAAAAGGAATTTTCGAGTGAAGAGAAGGTGGAGCAGAGCAGAGAGCGGTTGTCTTGCCTGGAGCCTGTCCTGGAGCAGAGAGCAGAGTGCTGAGGAAAAGCTACGAATAAGGCTTGAAAAGGATTCGTGAGGGACTGGTAGGTTCATTCTCAGAGGAACTGGGGACGGCAGAGTTACTGACTGTTGCCCAGCTTTTTCTCTGGAGAGGGGGTAGCTTTTTAAGCTGTCAACAGAATGAAGCAGAGAACGAGGGTCGTGGCAGTATGGATAGAAAATGATACAGGAGATGTGTCTCGCTTCCCGGCCCAGTTCACAAAGCCAAATATCACAGCCCTCCGTTGTCTCGCTTGTTTTGGCTTTCCGTAGAGATATTTATACTTCAACGCGAGTAAACACCAAATTCTAGTTACCCACGAGCCATTCTTTTCCCTTTTTTGGTGCGTCCTCCTTCAAGAGAATGAGCTGCTTTTTAATTAAGAAAACAAAGAACAAAGCCAGAGTCATAAATTTTTTTATGTACACAGGGAGCCAATGGCTCGTCAACAACCGGATTCTCATCTGATTCAATTCCTAGACCAAGGTCGGCTCGACAGTGGTAGCTCCACGAGATCAAGTAACTGTTAATCAATCAAACTGAGTAATCACCTTCATGTAGATCATCAGGGAGTCGGAAGAAGACGAAGACGGCATAATCGTCGTGAAGGGAGGTGTTGACGTTGAACGGAGATGATGTGGGGGGTAGCGGTGTTTGTTGCGCCGTCACTTGCATGAACGGCAATGGTTGGCTTCATTGATCGTTCAGTAGGACACCGCTGGAATTATCGCCCTCTGTTGCCCGAACCATCAACATTTCACTACCCGAACTGATTCATATGGGAACGTTCTAACAATAGCGCTACGCTGTTTGCGCAATAAATCGGACAATCTATAAGGCATGTCCATACCAGAACCCTAAGTTATGTAACTGAGTAACTAAGTTGTGTAGAGTGAGTACAGCTTGTGCTCTACCAGCAAGGTCTGACCTGACAAAGAAAGTCCCATAGCTGTTAAATGAAGTGCCCCTGGAATCCTTCTTGTGGGACTGTCGCTTCCATGGAGTATGGAGATTCACTCGATGACTATTACCCTTTTTCATTACCACAACAACTACACAAACAAAGGTTTTCTGCAGACCACTGACCTTCTTAATAAGGTATAGCGTAAAGGGAACGCTTTATAGGAAGTTTGTGGGCATTAGTAGCTCCAACATCGAATTATGTCAGCCATTCAGTGTCTCTGTCAACTATTTCAAGCCTCATTAAATGGTGCGGCAGCTAAAAAAAGTTAATTGAATGAGGGCGGCATTAGCAGCATTCGAAACAGCCTAATCGAGAAGCCATCTTCGGGAGACGGGCAGTAGGAACGGTTTTATGTAATCGATCCGCCGCACGCGGCTGTCGCGGACCATTCGCCTCACTATAACGGTTCTAGCATTCTTCATACAGCTCAATCGCTACGCGTTTATTATCTTCGGCATGACTCTACTGTTATTTCTTTTATTCCTGCATTTCTTACTTGCCGCTGCACTCTGCTACATTCCCTCGCGCGCGACGTCTCTCTCGCCGCGACGCGACGATTTCGTTCCTACTGCGCCACACCCGCCATCTTCAGATACCAGAAGAGCAACCATGTTACCATTTACGGATGTATTCAGAAGAGTTTTCTCGGGATAAACCCTGAAATTCCGTTGTCGTGAACCTCAAACTACTTTACAGTACAAGAATAGGAGAGGTTCAGTATCGCTGAGGAGAAAAATAAGATGTAGAAGTTACAGAGTGGTTTTCGTGTCAGCCAAGTCTAAATCCTACATTTCGACAACATAACAGTGATATTCCTCAATGGCTAGTTCTTAAAAGATAACCGGCCCCTATCAGTAACAACCTAGTTACTAAGGACAGCGCTGGGATCGTAGCCCGCAACGGCAGCCGAATTTTCTTTCTAGAAGTCAGGCATCGTTATATTAGTGCCAGACTGACTCTCAAAACGGATGCGTCGAGCTTTTGCGTCGAGCATTTCAAGCGAAATCAACTGAAACGAAAATTCGGCTCCACTTCTATTACATAAACTAGCTCTTGATATGGGGGTGTGGTGCGGTAGGAACGAAATTGTCGCGTCGCGACGAGAGAGACACCGCGCGCGGAGGAATGNAGCAGAATGCAGCAGCAGGTAAGAAATCCAAGAACAAAAGAACTAACAGTAGAATCGTGCCAAAAGTAGTAATCGCATCGCGATTAGGTTGTATGAAGAACGCTAGAGCTGTTATAATGAGGAAATGGTCCGCGACAGCCGCGCGCGGCGGATCGATTAGACCAAAGCGTTCCTACTGCCCGTTTCCTCTTGATGTGGCGCATGTAGAGCAGTGGTAAGTGGTGTACTTTCACGAACGCACTGACCGGGGATCGAATCCTGAATCGATACCCACTCAGACCAACCAAGCATGCCATCTCTTCAGGGTCGGCTGAATAGTACCAGATTGATGTAGGTGAGTAGAAGAATTGAGTCGTACATCGGCTGGTTATCGCAATTCGTTGTATAGGCCATATACACATTCAAAGCAAACTACGAGTCAGAATTTAAGCTATAAGGTATGAGGTCACAGCTAGAGGTAAAAATGATCCTATAATAGCTTTTGCTTACGGTCCGAGTCCATACGGTACATGGTGTATAAGTATATGTAGCAGCGGGAGCAACCGTTAGGTAAAACATGAGCATGAGGGCTGATTTATTGATGGGTTCGAGTTCGAGTTCCAAAACTTCGAGTTCGAGTTTAATACTACAGATTACTCTACTTCACAAGAGGGCTATGTGATGAAGACATGACGAAGACAGGGGGTGTGAGTACGTTAATAAAGCAATGAGAAGCAGAATAAGGTAACACCAAGTAGTGCAGCTACCACGCATACGACTCGGGGTTGACTCCGCCTTCCAACCTAGTCCCATCCCCCAGTGAGCCTGTAGATTGGTGCTGGGCTCCCTTGTAAGCATAAAGGTATCGACTTGTACCTCAGGCTACTCGAGCACATCAATACATGTATAGTTGGAATCCGCTTTTAAGCACCACAACGATCATGAATGGTGGTCGAACACATTAAAATATTAGTCGCTTACATTCGAAGCCAATGAAGGACTTTTGCCTATACATCTGTTCCTGAAAGAAGATAAAATTCCTGATTGTATGGTCGGTAAAAGTCACAGTTCAGTCTTCCTCATGATTCCTATGTGGCCAAGAGAATGGCGTGATCCATAGGACACACAAGGATGGAACTAATAAACGCAGTCTTCCTTTTTCGGATTTGACAGACAGATCAACATAGAATGCTCCCAATTTATTGAGAGTAATGAATATGAACGAGTTTACAAATAGTGGGGAGGATCTGTTAAAATACACAATAAAGGGGCATCACTAGGCCTCGGGGCTCATAGCACTTGATAACGTCAACAAAGACATCGATAGAATCCGGCAGTTAGTCTAGAACATCACCAGTGGCAAATTTGTCTATGGGCTTAGGCCCCATCTGTCCTGGGTATGTTACAGTGATAGCATAGTAACTTTATAGTTAGCAGGGGGTAGAACAAGGTTTTGTACAAGAAACTATTAACATAAGCGATAATGCCTTATCAGATCGGAGACGGTTGACGAATTTCGGCGTTGGGTAGAGCCGCTTTCAGCTTGGCCAGCACCTTATCCTTGCCATAAACAGCTTTCAAGTTAGACAAAAGGAGAGACTTCAGACCACTAGAGAAAAAATCCAATTAGAACAATTACATATGATTTCGTGACTGCTTTCCAAGCGGAAAATTTTGCCATTATATTAATGATTCAAACAAGAATTGTCCTCGAAACTGCATGGCAAACAATTTTCACTGTCAAAGCCAACACATTACTCTGGCACGCTCAACATTAACCTCCCAAGACATCAAACAAGTGTTGCTTGAAATTAAAAAAGCATGGGCGCATTGTGATTGATTAGCGAGCTGCAAGCCTGTTTTATCGCGCCCATCTCCCTTCTATCGTTCTATTGAAAAAAATGACCATATCGTTCTGTTTATGGTTGCACATTAGCAGAACATGGGGGCAAAGTAGGAAACAGTTAGTCCGGATCTGCGAAAAAGAAGTTGCAATCACCACACCGCTGGCTGCTACATCACAAGCAGCGACTCACAGGCTTCTCATAATGAATACAGAGGTAACATACGTTGCAGATGATAATAAAAAGGCTCGAGTAGTGTTTGAAAAAAGGGAAAATGGGTAATTCTCCTGCAACAGATGACAGGGTACGTTACGTGAAGTTCCGAAGTCTGCTGGGCCTCAAATCTGGGCAAATCTTAGCGACCGATAAGAAGTTGAAGGGACTTCTCATTCAACCCACTTATTCATTATTTTAATGATGCTGCAAAAGAAAAACTGGTGCTCACTCGTCTACGCAAATCGACCTGCTTTTCTAGGGAAACAAACACGAACTGGAGGCTTTAGTGGAAAGATACCATTGTAGCCCTATGTGACACACACACTGACCTGCATAATTCTAAGTGAGCCAACCCAAATTCTGTTATTCGTCGACATCCGTCAATTTCGAGAAGTTCCAAGTGTGTTCCAACAGCCTTAGCCATATACTCCAATCCAAAATCGTGCAAGTTGTCACAGCGGATGAAATGCACTTCCTTGATCCCATGCAAACCTTCTAGAAAGGATTAAAAAATGATTTCTCAAGAAAGGCAACGCAAACCGAAATGCATCAAAAGCCATGTAACGGATTGTACTGACCAAAATGACGACAACCGTAACCGGTGACGGAAGCATCCACAGCGTAAATGTTTGTGACTTTCACGTTGTCCGCCGGTATCCTGGGATCAAGCTCAGCGGTTCGCTTGATCAGGGCATTATAGTCGTTGAAAGTGTCAGCAATCTTGTCAAATCCGAAAAAAACGCTTCGTGCAACCTTCGCTCATTGGTTCAGAATAAGAACTCTTACTTTACGCCGCCTCCACACCGAACAATCCATTCTGCTGCAGCACGGTCGGGACCAACCTCCTTCACTCGTGAAATATCGTAACTGGAACCAGAAGTTCATATTTAACACTCAACATATTCTCGAAATCGTGCGAGTGATGTCGGGCATTCTGATGACAGCACCTCCTTTTCGGAGTCGAGAGTTCCGCGGCATTTCCGACTGATGTTCATTTTTAAGTAAAGCTACGTATTGATAGCAAAAGAAAGACAGTATGAATCAGTTTGGTCTTGTTTTTCCTTTTATACAGGACTAAGAATATGCGCATCGTGAGAAAGGCCTCTAGGCAAGATACCGCTCCGGATCTAACACTCGCAGAAGGAAGCGATTGGCTTGAAGAAAACAAAAAGGTTTTGGGACCCCTCTTAAAGGCTGGCGAAATCTGATCCGTGAAATGTGAGAGGGATATTATGAGTCGAGTTCGACCGTTCCAAAGGAAAATAAAACTAGAATCGAGTAAATTAAGAACGCACTGCTGTTTAATATGAAGCTATCTCTTCTCAATAACTTATTTCAGGCGACAGAGTAAGTAGATAACTCACTAATTGAATCCTTCAAGTAACCATCGTAATCCCGGTATGTTGTGCTTTCCAAGAGCTTGCACAAATTTCTCTTGCTGACGAATTAAAAACCGAGCCATTTTGGGTTTGAGTTGATAAAACTAACCAATAAGTTATAATGCGTTCGGAACGAAACGTGTTCGAAATGAAAGCGATTAAAAGAATGTATATCGATAACTCTCGCAGAAATGAAACACCTACAGAAATGCACGAGAAGGTATGAAAATATTTATTGCTGTAACGCCAACACATAAATTACAAGCTTCATAGAACCAAAAATCCAACTACACATTGATAGAATTCCAAGAAAGCATTTTTAAAAGGATACCCATTATTGGAACAAAGATCATCAACAAAGGAGGAGTATTGAGCAACAAGTGTGATTCTATATGCTAGTCGAGGTACGGCCGCGGAGACCAGTCCTTTGGATGTATCGTATAGGGACGAGTGGGCTTATTCGGATCGAAACTGGAAAATCATATTCATTTAAACAACTTTCATGTAAGGACAATTTCTGTTGAAACAATTCTAGGCACAGGAACTCAATCGATTTCACTAGAGGAGAGCTGAACCTGAAAACTCATCTCACTCACTCAGGTAAATTCTGCCTCAACATATGCTCACGCACTTTCCACCGTAAAGCAAGATGTTTCTCTTCACCTGGAGCCGGCTTCCTTGCCCACTCTTCTCTGAAAAAGGTTGACGTTATTGATTTAAGATAGGTGTGTACGGCTTCGAACTGGGAGCTTATGAGGCCCTGAAGGCTCAGAACATCCCATGTCCGAATTTCAATAATTAATTCAGCTCTTATCTATTACTACTATAGAACAATCTGTGGTTCATAGTCAGCTCTGAAGGAATCTAGATTATTCCATGGTAGTAATAGAAAAGAGCTGAATAATAGAGAACGACCACTGCAATTACTAATTGTGATAAACGTTCTCTTCAACTCAGCTCTTTAGGAGGACAAGGGAAAATAGACTCTTGAAAGTACCTGTAAAGCTCGAATTTTTTGACAGGATCATGGCGGTAAAGGAGTTTGCCTGGAACGAACTGATGAACGGGACGGAGACCTGAATGTTTGAAAAGGAGTGGCAATCAAGCAATGTTAAAAACAACCAGTAGAAGTACAAAAACCTGGTCAGGGTCTCTTTCATCTCAGAATCTTTAAGAAGTTGAACAGTGTGAACTGAGAACTCTCGCAGGGATGAGAGATTAGCTCAGCTCAATAGCAAAAGTAATCTTCAAAAGGTACCCTTTTGGAATCGTTCTCTTCAACGGGATTGATAAAGATACAAAACTTTACACTCCTGTGATCGTTGAAGAGATGTTTGGAGAGCTATTAGCCGATATCTGGTATATTTACATGGTTTACGGCGAAGGGATCCTCTCCCAAAGACTATAACCTTTACATATCCGTAAAAGCTAACTTGGATCAGGCTGAAGCTTCTCTGCGGGAAATATTCCTTCACTATCCTCTTCAGATGCATTGGATTCGGTCGTTGAAGGCAAATATGTCGCCGTACGAGGAGGAGCACAACTACGAGATTTCCTCGTCGACTCGTTTTCTGAAAAGAAAGAACAGATTCTGTGTTTCATAAGACTGTGCCGACCCAGTTTGCCATCGAGCAATCAGTGTGTGAGCAAAACAGAATGAGCACAAACTAAAAGCAAAACACCACCGTGTCCAATATGCACACAATTATTCTTTCTTCAAGTTTGTTTGTATCATTAAATTACATGTTTAAGCACGATAGCTTTATTTCATTTATTCGTCAGAGATAGTGGATTTCGGATAGATCAGTCACTTGGATGGCTACTTGGCGAATTCGTGCAAGAATAATAAACTCCTTCTGTCCCCCCCCCCCCCCCCCCCCCCCCCCCCCCTCCCCATCCCCCACCGCTTCGTTAGATATGGACACTATACTCAACAAGGAATAGGTCTATGGAAAACCGTGATCAGAGAGAGAAGGTTGTATAAAAAGCACAATGCAGCGCAGGATATGAACGCTTGCGTACGATTGAATGACAACATTCCCACCTTTGTTATCGTTTGCTTCGCTTGAAGTATTTCGTGAAACATTACGTTGAGATGAGCGACCAGAAGATCGAGAAGAAGTCAGCTTCTTTTGCTGAAAGTTGTTTTGTCCGACTAATTGGATAACCAGACGTCGCGATCGCAATCAAGACCGTATTGCCTTATGTAAGGAATATGTATAATATATAATCTGAATCTGTGATGCCTTTTTGTTCTATATCTTTTTTTCGCTCTCTAAGAATATGACCTATTGTTCCTTTACTGATATCAAATGCCTTACCAAATCCTCCACAATTGCCATCGTCCCGTAGACGCTGTTCAAACAGCGGAAAGCATCGTTGAGAAGAAAATAAGCAGTGGGATTATATTGTCTCTGAAAAGGAGAAAATCTCGCAAAAATTGCTAACAACACCTTTACATATTTTACGGTGGAGAGCATACGATTTCCTCGTTTTCCTGGGATGATGGTACATCTAGTGGAACTTCCTTGCGTTGCCGCGTGTGGTTCTCAGGTCTCGAAGAGATTCTCTCTAAATTGATCTCATATCATTTATACCCTCCCTTTCGAACTTCATATATGTCGCGCGAGGCATCGCATGCCTTACTCTTGTGGAAATAGTGGTAAAGAGTCCTTACAATATAAATGACAATAATGCTACTTGAAATACCTATGCGTTGTATTGGTGACGAAACAGTTTCATGACTGCTATGAGCATTAGCTCCTGCCGACTGCGAAGAAGTTGAGAGACTGAGACTCCCGAAGAGCGAAGCGTCCAAGAAAAAGTCTTCTGCTCCGAAGTCTGATTCTGCGATCAGCTCATCAATCGCTGAAATAAGGAGGTCTACGCCAGAAGTGTATGTGCAAAAGGCGGTGTCAAACAGATAAGCCTTTCAGTCCAGGTTGTAATACAACCTTTCCGAGAAAAGCAGGTTTTCTGCCTGGTGGTAATGCCGAGTTCCCAAAAGTATCTGAACGAACCCCCACAACACCATCAAAAACGAGTTTAAAAAACTGTGTTTTTGGAAACGTTTCATTTGTGGAAGTTACACATCAACAAACAGAAGAAAGTATAGGCAATCTATTATTATTGAAGTGTAAAGACCAACCTTGCTTCAGAATAGCGATGTTTTCGGAGTCAAATGGCAAACCCATCTCCTCGCACACTTGCAGAAGTTCATCTTCTGTGTATTCATCTCCTGAACTAAGCACACTCATTCACAGACAATGATGATGGATGGCTGAAGGAGTCCCGCCTACGCCCGGAAAGCGCGCTCGAAAGTTACGTGCGGCGTGACGAGCGGAGCAAGGGGATGGTTCTCCCACGCCAACCAGTAGTACTGAGCTTTTGAAATTGCCGCCTTTGTCAGCTGTCAGTTTAGGTGGGAAGAATTCCCGTTTTGAATTCAGATTTAGTCATTATTCAGAAGAATGTCGTCTTCAGGCGCTCGCGGTGTCGCTTCCAGTGGTCATGAGTTTGCTCGGTTCGAGCAGTAATGTAAGTGCCGCTCATTCTCGATCAAATGAAATCGGTAGTAAAGACGCGGGAATTCGCAGGTCTAACCAGACCTCCAACAATTCAGGGAGTGTCGGAGAAAGCGAGCAATTGGAAGAAATCGACGTTGATTTCACTGGTTGGTACATTTGGCTTGAAGTTTTTGTAGGAATGAGGTTCTGATGTGCTTTTCGTTGTTGTTTTATTCTTGGACGCCACTGTTTGTCGGCGATTATTGGTGATTTTGCCATTCCTCTCAGGAAATCTCTCCTTCGAAGAGTACTGTTCTCCTATTCATTCTCCCGAGGTTCACAGCGATGAATTTGTGTTAATCTTCGGGATTAACGAGTTGGGAAAGAGTACGCGTCGAGAAAGGAGGGCATGTTAATTTAAGTTGATAACGCTTTTCAGCGGAATATGATGATGATGTCGATGATGGCATCGATCAACCTCAAATGGGAACCCGGGCGGATAAGTCTTTGGGTCTCCTAACCCAAAGATTCATTCGTTTGTTAGAGTGTTCTGCTGGCGGCATTTGTGATTTAAATCAGGTACATTTTATCATTTTTGTGTTTTCCAAAGATTTTTATTCATATTAGGCAGCAGAGGCGTTGAACGTTCGGCAAAAGCGGCGAATTTACGATATCACGAATGTTCTCGAGGGTATAGGGCTCATAGAGAAGAAGTCGAAAAATGTCATACAGTGGAAGTACGTCAATTTATTTCCGATTGTGATACATCGTTGAGTAGGCTTTGCTATTTGAAGAGCTGGTGATCTTTTGAAAGCTGACGAGAAGGAAGACGAGCCGGGCGTAATTTCTCATCTGGAAGGTTTACAATCGGAATTGATTCAACTGCGAGAAGAGGAAAACGCCTACGATGAACACATCAAGTGGCTTCAGCAGGTTTGGAATGCCATATTTCTAGTGTTCACTAATGTTTTTTCTCTACAATCTTCAGCATGTTTCGCATTTTCTTTGAAGAGAATTTGCAAAATGTTGAGGCGATAAATCTCGAGTGAGTCAGGTCTTCCTTTTCGATTCCTCTTCTGCTGAATTCATGTATTGAAAGACTTTAACATTAAAAATTGGCCAAGAGTAGTGTGAATTTCATTACTCAGTGCAAACTTTGATTGTTGCCTATACCCGAAAGTAAAAACTAGTTGAACGCATTCATGACAGTTGTAACTGCCATTTCCTCTCCTAACGGGCCAAACCTTAGTTGTTTACTCTCAGTCATTGCAATTATCCTTTACACGCGGAATCCACCCAAATGTAGTCGTGGATAAACGCCCCACGGCATCTTTCAAGACTTTTTCGATTCAACAGATCCTTCACCGTTCATCTCCGCGATCGTTCTACCATTCACCCTGCCGTGTCATTGTAGTAAGGTCAAAACGCCAACAGTAGTTATGTGGCAAAAAGGAATGATATTCTCAAAAATGCATTGCCTTTGCCCTGCAGAATAGATTGCTTCTATGGTCAAATCTCTCTTAGGACTATGGTCTTCCACAACAAGTAGGTGGTGCCCTTGTTGTGATAGTTACATTTACAGAGTATGCGTAATGTGTGTGAGTCATCGAAAAATCAGCGTTGTGCATACATAACTCAGGCAGATCTCCAGAAGGCATTCCCTTTCTCGAGCACATTTGCTGTGCAAGCGCCTCCTGGAACAAATGTTGAAGTCATCCCGCCAAGGGTGCGTTTATTTTTCTCGCGAGTAGTTTATGCATTATTGTTTGACTTTAATTTTTCTCGTCTCCTATTTTCTTCTTCCTCATTCTCATCCAATGTTTTCGTTTTGCTGCACAGACTGTACGGTTTTTTGTAGTTCGGAGGTATCGCCGATTCACGATATGTGCTTCGTTTGTCGAGCTCGTGCGGACCCATTACTGCTGTTTTTGCCAATAAGTTCGAGGGACGCGCCAGGATGTACAGGGCTATCATGGATTCTAGTCGCTATCAGGTAATGTGTCAGTGTTTTTTATCTGTGTGACGCATAACTAGCGTAGTGATGTTCTCTACCAATTTAAGCTTTCATGTTATGAGAGCCTACTCCAAGCCTAAATACTTTTTAAAACTTCTACATGGTAGGTTGAGCATGGCCTTTACACCGCAGCAAGTGACGATTCTGGTCCAGTTTTCGAGGAAGATCCTGAGGAACAATTAGGAACATCACGTAGACGTCGAATTGAGGAGTCTAAAAGCGGTACGTTTAAAAAAGTTCGGTGAAGCCTCTCCCTTGTGAGCGCAAATAGTTCGCCAAATAATGCGTTTTTTTTTTTGAGAGGACGCGCGAGGTGGTACATTGAATTCCTTTTGGGTATAATTGGGAAGGAGTCCGATAATCTTCTCCTTCTATTCTTACTTGCAAACATATTGAATGGTGCAAAGCGGTTTCAGGTGCAAACTCTAGTCGATGCTATCGCGTGAACTCGTCCAGTGTCGGTGTTGACGGCCAAGGCAGGTTTTCAGATGCTTCGATATATCATTCATACATTTCGAAAAACACTGTCTAACACAACTACACGCGAGTTTACCAAGGTTAAGTCATTTTAAAGCGTGTATGAAGCATGGCACCATTTTGAGTGATGAGGATTCTGATGGAGCAATTCAATGAATTCAAAGCTTTCACTGCCTGTTTACCACATTCAGCATGCCAAAATTGAAGTTCTACTGAAATAATTTCTTAAGAAGAGAAGGTAGTTGAATTGTAATGCACGTCTTGAAAACCAGTTGCCAGCAAAGGTTGTGTGCCAATACAAACTAGCAGAGTACTCAATAAAATAGAAAGTTTGGACGAATTGACAGAAGCAAAATGGAGTAAAAATGAAAGTTTTGAGGGGTAGCGAAAATACAATGAAAATTCGCATGAGTAAACCCAACTTAGCTTTCCTTTTGGAGACGTGTTGTCACATATCTTCTATTTTACCGTATTTCACAGTTCCAGGTCGAGCAACTACATGCAGCACCCTGGTGCAAATACAACCGCCTCCAAACCATGAAGATTATCAGTTTCGGGTCAGAAATTACAGTAGCGCATTCGACTTGTTTGTGGACGAGATATAGCGTCTCTCTCGGAATTTTCAAGGACTGGTGTTAGCGGGTTGAGAGATCCAGTTAATTCTTAGTAGAACTCCTGTCTGGATGGAGAACATGTGGTTCTGTCCAATTCTAACTGGTGTAGAGCGATTCAGTTCTTCGCTGTGATAGTCTTGGTGAACGAGGACGTAAAATGATCGTGCTTCCAGTGTACTCTGTTAGATTTATCACTCAGATGCAATGATGAATTTTTATTTTGTTGTTTACTGCTCCTCGTTCTGCTTCATTTTATCACCTCATGTGAGAAAGAACTTGTACACTCTCTTCATTTGGTTTTACGGACGCTCTTGCTTAGATTATGTTCGACATTATTGTATGAAAGAGGTGTTCCACTCGTGAAATTTTATTTCATAATATTAACTAGTCAGCAGAATGGTAATGTAAATGACTTAGCAAGAGGCGAACCGTTGTAAACTGCTCCAATCCATATTGTTTGCCTGTATTCGTATGATGGATTTTCTGAAATGAACTGGGTGTGGTGCAGTAGGAACGAAATTGTAATTGTCGCGTCGCGGCGAGAGGGATGCCGCGCGCGAAGGAATGTAGCAGGTTGCAGCAGTTGGTAAGAAATACAAGAACAAAAGAACTAATAGTAGAATTATGCCTAAAATAGTGATCGCATATCAACAGAGCTGTAAGAAAACGCAAGAGCTGTAATAACGGTGAATGAGTTGTCCGCGACAGCCGCGTGCGGCGGATCGATTACCCAGAATCGTTCCTACTGCCCGTCTCCCAAATGAACTTCCTCCCTGAGAGTGTGACTTGTTTGCAGCTGTTTTGAGTGTCAGACATTTTCTCTGTTACGAATTGATACATACATTTTACTGGGTGATGTAGACCATCAACTATCCTCCCGTGAACTGAACGTGTTATCGGGAATTTTTTTTTATTGCATTTGCTTTGTATTTTTACAGACGTTGTTCAAAACTTCTTCCTCTATGTTTAGACTTTGTCGCATTTCTATTTCTTTCAGCGGACATCCTTTTCACGTCACGCCTACTTAATTTGTGAAAACGTGATATTTTGTTCGAAAGGGGTGTGCTGTTTCGGGGGTTTAGAACATTTGTTTCGGTTTTACTGAAAAAAATGTGTGATAAGTGCCTATAGTGTGTTTCGTCGTTTTTTCTAGCAGGCAAGTTCCCCCTGCAAGGGATAAGGCTTCAAAATGAAGATATCATTGTCGATGTCTTCCTGATAGCTTTTCATTGCCGCATTTCAGACGAACAGCGGTAGAGCAAAAAATTAGTAAAGAATTTTCCAATGGGAGTAAAGAAGCAAGCGTTGTTCACGCATCACGCTGTTTCGAGTAGGAAAGAAGGATTTAATCTGGAAATGAGACGTGCGATGGTTCAAAGGAAAGGGGCCTGGGAGGCAAGAGAGAACGTCTGTAGTAAAAACTTCTTTTATCACCTTCAAATAGTAGGAAGGCTCCACTCAAGGCTTTATTGTGGGTGAGAGAAGCCCACACCCTACCCAGGGTAATCAGAATCTTTAGAGGTACATCTACGGAAGGAGATTTGCATGTGACCGCTGAAAACGTTTAAACTCCCTTGTGAAAATATGATTCGCCAGTAGAGACTGTTCACGTGACGCTGTCTTTTAAGATTAGTACAACAGCTCACACGAGTAACTTACTCATAGTTTATGGGCGAAAACAGTTTTAACAAAACTATTTTAAAGTTAGCAAAACGATGTTGACTGCCACGAGGAAAGCCTGTAGCTTTAATGCAATTGTGGAGTTATGCTAACAGTAAAACTAGAGCTAATAAGTCAAGGAAATATACAGTGTTATTGATAATTAAGTTAAATTGTACCGAGCGACCCCAGTGCACCCAAAATGCACTCGCCGAGAATTGTTTAATTTCAGACGTGGGATACTGTAGTAGCTGGGGGTACGCAATTAATTTGTGTTGCTGAAAGAAATTTCATAAACACATCGTGCTCACGTAAGACCTCTGAACGAACGTCTAACGAGGGTTTTGTTCAGTAGCCTCTCAGTAATCGAAGTTATTTCAAAGCCGATATTCGTCAGGTCATGTGCTGTGTCTATGGTTTGGGCCTTTCGCCTGTTCGATTGCTTTGTGAACTAGATCCTTTCGTTGGACGAAGCTGATTTTATAAACGATTTGTGACGTGTTTTGATTTTTCATGTTGCTATTGTATTCTACATGGAGCGACAATTATATTCAAGACTCGAGTGTCCGTCAAGCTAATGATCTTCAATGGAAGGTGGGTGTGCAGGTTTTGCTTTTCTGATGGTTTAGCTTGTTTTTATTGTACGCATGCAGCCTTCACGAATTTTGATTAGGGTCGCCTGCCATGTCCCAGCTGAAGCAATTGGTCTTAGGCGATGATTCGACGCCATCATCTCCATGTGATACTGCAAAAGGTGCTTTATTTTCTCAGGTTTTCTTTTCACAGGCTATTTCATTGTTACTATATTACATTTTACTCCGTTCCATCAACTCCTCTAATATTTCAAAACGTGTCGTGTGTTCTTCTAGTGAGAAAAAGTGTATAACTTTTGTGTTCGGCTGCCTTAATCGGTTTCATTTAGCGGCCACCAAAGAGGAGCCAACTAACATAATTTTCGAGGACAAGGAATTGGAGAAGACTCCTCTTGGAGATGCAATTGACTCTTTGATGGTTCGCTGGGCGCAACTTCTTTCAAATGTGTCTTCACGTTCTCCAGTTCCGGCTCCATCGACCATTGATCATGTGAAGGAAGTAGTGGAAATATCGATGTATCATGTAAGTGTGGGAATAAGTGAATCATTCAGTAATATGTGTAGTTATATCACAGAAAGGCTGCTTTGCAAGTTTTTTGGTGCACTGCCCACTCGCTTGTGATGCATCTATACTGATAAACTGAATGAGAATGCAGTCGTCCATCACACGTGAGCGATGTGCCAAAATAAACTCCGAAAGCGGCCTCCGAAGCAGTGCGAACGCTGTTTTCTACACAGAGTATGGAACCACTAGTTCCGAAATTTTCGTGTAATTTCAACTACGGATAGTTATAACATCGAATTTTCGTTTTTCTTCTAGTTCCGCGACTCCTGCTTGGATGTTTGTTCTGAATTCACGAAAATAGACCTGCAGTGGCAGCTTGATCATCCAGAAGAAGTTTATGAGGACGTACGCGAATCAACTTTTTTCGTGTAGCTCTCTTTTTTGTAGTGGTATTCTAGAACTCCAAATGTTTAGGAATTAAAAGGACTGGATGATGCCCTTATTCGTCAAGAAACTTTACTTGCCCGAGCGCATGGGATCCTTGACCGGCGATGCAAGGAGTTTTTCGTTTGATACGTAGAGTACCACCAATTGTGATCTCTTTGCTGTCATGGCTTCCCGTTGCATTTTTTTTTTATGATTCCCTTCGTCTCTATTGTAAAAATTACGTTTCTTGCTAATAAATAATGCAAACAATAATTGTTTCATTGAACTGCAACTGTTCTTTCGGATTGAATTATCTCAGAATCAGTGTATGCGGGCTTATTTTGATTTGTAAATGTATACAGCAGTTTGTTGCGAATCACACAATACACTGTTTTTTCCTTTCAACCCTGTTCCGTATTATTGTCCGGAAAGATTTACCGAGTCTCTCTTACTTTTTCAGATATTTTGCGACAACTGCAATTGCTTGACGTGAACTCTGTAAGATAGGTCTACAGTAGCTTCCTATTTCTTGTAGTGATTCAGAATTTATGTATAAAAGTAGTGTTTACTGGAACGGAAATTGTGGGTAAAAGAAGACCCCACTTTTGTGAGCACAGTAGAAAATCTTATCCACTAAAACGTTCTTTTTTTTTACAGTCGTGAGGTATGTGGCATGAGGCCCGTCGTCAGGAAAAGCAATTACGAGCGCGAATCGTTGACTGTTCCAAAAGAGCGGAAAAACGAAGGAGATTCTATGACAGTGTGGTTAGTTTCGGTTCTTTTGTAGAATTTTACATAGTGCAGAGTTAACCTTATATGTAGAGCACATAGTTTGGGGTAGTATGATAGGATATATTAGGTTGGAAGGAAAGCCCTGCAACAAAAAATTTGAAGCGTCCGCAATTTGTGTCAACAGTGTGAACACGGTAGCAAGAATGATAAACTTGTAGGACATTCCTCAGGTAATCAACACGTGAGTAAATAAGGGCACGCGCGTGGGCTTTAACAGCATTGCGGTCAATAAATGGACAACACCCGATTAGTACCATTTCATTCTTCTAAGCACGCCAAGGGAAAAACGCGGGTGTAGCGGCTCAAATTATCAGCAACCTATTCAATGCTGACACTGCTCACCGATCAACGGTCAACAATCGGTTGGATCGCTCCACTGGAGGAGATACTAGCCTTCGAAGTCACGCAAGCATCGTCCCTTAATTTAATGGAGGTTGAAGGGATCCATCCACTATGAGTTGCTAAACGCAGACTAGATGGACACAGCTATAGGTTATCCCTATGAACCCCGAAATTTGGCCAACGGTTAGAGGAGGACGATCAAAACCGTAAATCAGGTCCCTACAATGGGACAGCGCACGTCGAAATTTCGCTTTAAACACGCGTCAAAGTATACGATTTGAATTGGTTCCAGGTTGTTCATCAGTCGTACTCCCTAATGTCGCCCCTTTTACCTACCATGCGCTCCGCCTTCTTGACCATACCGTTGTGGAAAAAGAAATCGTAACCTAATGTGACCTGCAAACGACATTCTATTACTTTTTTGCACTCACACTTTACTCACAGCTTTCTCACTCCTGGATAAAAGGCATCAGTGATTGGTTCAAAGGATAATAGAAGGTTGTTGATCTCTTTGGTAAATATATTTCCGAAAATTGTTTGGGCTGGAAAATTTCAGAAGTGATTTGAAAAAGACCTTCATTTTGTTGCAGAATTTTTCTTCCAACCTATATTTTACAATTATGTAACGGATGCTGTGAGCTTGTGGTTGGCAACTATTGGGGTCATGCCCAGGAAGTGCTTAGGTGTATTACACATCTCTTTGAGCTAATCACTTTAGTCTTGCCTTTTTGAATTCATTCTCTAGTCTTTAGGTATAATTTAATCACGATCCGGTTTTACTGTCACTTAAAATTTATTCGGTTTTAGCGTAAAGATCCAGATCAATTTATGCAACTGCATGGTCGCAAATGTATAATCCACACCGACAAAAGCATTGCGAAGGCAGCGGAGGATAATAATATACTGTAATTTTTCCATACCTAATTTTGTTCATGGGTGCTACCGTGTTCTTTTAGTTCTTTACACTCAAATTTAGTGCCGATGTACTCACATCGCAATTCCTCACTTACTGTATTCATTTTTTATACAGGCGTAAGTGGCAAGGAGACCCGTCCGTATTGATTGATCGTTTCGATGTGCGTTCACATCTAGATTTCATCCCACCGGTCAAAAAAAGGAGCATTGAGCCCGACAGGTTTGCCTTTCCAAGAATTACCAAACAGAGCGAAATGTTTTGAGGTCACTTCAAACAGACATTTCAGTGAGGATGAAAAACTCGAGATGATTTGTGATTTTGAGCGGTATCGAGTACTTATCATCAACGAGTATCGCGACGTTTCCGAGAAGGTGTTTTCATAACTTTACTGGCTTAATTCATCGAATGAAATTTCTTTTTGAGCTGCAGGACTATCTGCGCAAAATTGCCGAGAAAGAGTTTTGGAAAATCCCCAAGGATGATCAACTGAAATCTGAGCACGACAAGAAAAAGTGATTGTCCATATTAATAGCGAAGCCTTACTCTGCTGAATGTATTCACCTTCAGAAAGTCGGCTGAATCGAAGGCGACAATTGGTTTCACCTACGAGAATTCTGTTATTGTGAAAAAGGAGCATGAAGATACGGAAGTTAGCGATGACGACACTGATATAGATCAACCGGAAGATATTGGTGCGTATCACACCTTTTTAGGAGCTTCTTCAAAGAGGCTATAGCTAAAACGAAAGTTTGTAGTTGTTATTATAATTCATTCGGGATCTATTTTGATCTTTCCGGAAATTTTGTCTTGAGGGAAATGAGGTTAAGGAGCTCTAGATAACAATTTCTAAACTGATTTCAAGTTTAGAATTACTCACACCTTTTCATGCAGAAAAATACATGAAAGTTTCTGAATATCTTTTGTTTTCCTTATTTCCTAATTATTTCAAAGAGTTCAACTTGTTTTATTCATTCATAGTCTAGCAAGGAAGGAAATGAACGACAAATCGCATTTCAGATGTCGAACTCGATCTCCGCGGTGCTGATGCTGAATCCCAGCGCAGAGTTAACTGTATCGGCGAGGCTTATGGCGTTCGTCGTGGTGGTTTCGCCGGACTTTTGAATGCCGATGCTGTCGCGCGTGCCGAAACAGCTGAACTGCGGCGCATCGACCGAGAAAAAGCGGCTCTCGCTGTCCGTTTGCAACCCTGTAATTCATCACTAGAGTTCTGCTGTTCTAAAATCCTTTCCTCTCTCCGTCTCGTTTTTTTGAGAGCCAACCTACTCTCGCTCCTCAATCTCATCTATTGAGGATCTTTTTCTGACTGTTAAGATTCATAGTCAGCGTCACAGCCTCGTGACTCTGCAAAGTATGCTTCTACACAATCGAAGTCTAGGGCAGCAAACCAGTTGTCAAGCTAATTCTGTTCTTTTCTGTACTTGCGGGCTATTTCAGGGACGGGATTCGAAGCACGAGCGCTTGCTCTTGAAAAAACAACGTGCTCTAATTGTAGGAAAGGGATGTCCTGATGAGGCTACGGTTTCACTTCTCAGGTTCTTTTCCAAGTTCAGACTGTTTAAGGGAAGCAGATCGTCTTTTTTAAGCTTTGTGGAGAGCGCAGCTGCCAAGAAGAAAGCCATCTTCGAAACCAGCTCCTCGAGTGATTCTGAAGAAGAGGCTCGGCCACAGTTTATCACAACTTTTGGTAATGATGACCGACGAGGTAATTCTAGTAAACTGGTTAGCGGTCTTCTGAGGGATGGGAAGGGAGGCTGTTTGACTCACTTTTTGTTTCCACCATCGAATTCTGACAAATGAATAATTTCAGATTTAGAAGACGATGAAGAAAAACCGGTGGTCGCTACTGTTGTCGGCCCTCAATTACCGACCAAGGAATATCGTCGTATTTTGTTAGTATTTTAGTATATTATCAGTTCTTGGTGCTTTTTAGCTGTCAAAGAGACGGGATGCACGCTTTGCAGTATACCCGGAAAGCTCGAGTACGGCTTCAATAAGACTTTCGGAACGCATATTGTGGCGAAAAAACAGCAGTTAAAGGCACCGTTCACGATAAAAAAGTTATTGAGTTCTCACCTTATTAATACTCAGCGGCCCCCATGGGTTGTAGAAGGGACCCTCTCGCTCCCCCAATCTCGAGATCCAGGGCATAGTGGCAGCCCCGTTGTTGCCGTAGTTCGCGTTCCCGCCCCTCGATCGGTGTCACGTTAGACGAGTGTCGAGACAATACAGATTGCTATTCTTCGTTCTAGGACCCACGCACAACCAGCTAATTGCCGAGTGATGAGGCGATGTTTTTTTCCCATTCTTCTTTCCTCTGTTTTTCTTTTTGCTGCCGCGATCCCTTATTTAATTTCCTACTCTTAGAGGCTGAAAAAGGTGAGCTACTTTTGGTGTCACTAGGGTTTTTGAGTTTATTTATGCTTATAAGTGAATGAATTTTTTCTTACCATTGTCTGTTATTCGCACCAGAATCCACACGCGTGCAGTGAAACACACTGTTTAGCTCGTCCGGACACCCCACTCTTCTTCATTTTCTGGTTTCATTCTCGTCCAGCCCTCTTTTTAACGTTTATTCGAAGCCTTTTTTTTTACTTTGGAAGCACCGATGCACGCAGTTTCATCACCTCAGTCGCACTAGTTTCGATCTTTCGTTTTCTTTCGGTCTTTCGTTTTTCATCATAATCTGGATTACCCAAAATTGTCGTGAACGGTGCCTTTAACAAAACATCAAGTCAAAACAAGTTATATCATGTAAAGCCTACAGCTTATCGGTTCAGTGCTGATATTGGCCGACCAGCTCAACACGTTGTACGTGTGAGTGCTGATATGCTATGGCATTCAAGCCATTAAGAAGGCGAGGACAAGCGGGGTCTAGGTAGTGTAAGGGATAAGAGCACGGTCCCCGGAAAGGACAAGTGCGGGTTCGAGTACCGTCCGAGACTGAAGTTTTGTCCATAAATCGCCAATCTTGTGAGACTTTCGCATTGCGACTGTGACGGCAAAACAGCAGTTAACAAAACATCAAGTAGTGGCCCAATAGTTCTCTCGAATGGTATTAATGTTTTGCTCGTGTGAAAACGTGAAAAAACTCATTGTCAGTCATAAATTCATGAACAAATCACATAGTAGTACAGCTACAAATTCGTGTCTGGTGATCAGCCGAAATCCGGACATGAACAGATTGCACAGAATATTGCAGAAACGGCCTCACGGCTAGTTTCCACAAAATCATCAATTGAACTCTATTCACCCCGAGAGAGCGAGTGTCTCGTTGTCATAGCCGATTGTCTTGAAACCCGCTGATTAGAACGGGTGTGTGGCGATTTGTGCGATTCTGAGTGCGCGCGGCAAATTGCGCGGCGAAATTCGTGGCGATTCAGACGACTCTGGCGTCTGTTATTGGGACACAAACTCGAAGTAGAATAGTTGGGTATGGTCAGCTGCTCGTACTAATCTACTTTACTTCAAGCTTGCGCCTAGATGGAATGAAATGCTTCGTTATACGACGTTACCTATTTTGAATATAGTAACCCCATACCCGCCACAAGTCGAGAAAGGGCTTCGGGCAAAACTAAGGGTGGGTGAAGTAGCCACCAGGCGGTGTGGCACCATGGCCATCGCTTTTTGGGCAGGACCCACGGTTGGGTTAGAGAAAGAACCAGGTCCCTGTTTTGAATTTCCGTTTCTGTAATTGCATTTAGGGCCTGTATTTATGAGGGTATCAAAGTGTATAATGAAATAAACGTCGTGGAAGAAAAGGGTGTCGACAATTCTGTCATTTATTTACATCACGGCCACTTTGAGAACCAAGTATCGTCTTGAATTGTCGTTCTTGTCAGCGTATACACCCGCCACATTGTTATTCGCACGCGTGCTCAACTAAAAGAATTCGGCTTCTTGATTCTTCACTGATCATCTCTCTTTTTTGGTAATTAACAATTGGTTTTTCTAGTCACCTAACAAAACGCGATGAAAGTCCCGACCATTTGCTTACCCAAGGAGTCAGCAATGCAGCATCCCGAGATCGATCGAGAAGAAGCAGGTCAGGAAACGAAGAAGATAGACTACCTAATGACAGATAGGTTGTGTTCAGTAGTTCGATAGACCCTTATTCTATCCGAGTTCAGGTCCTGCTCGAGAAGTAGTAGCGCTCAGAGACATCGGAATCGTTCTCGTTCCAATGAGAGACAAGGTCGTTCACGACATTCGCGCAGCCGAAGTAGGGATCATGGTGACCATAGGCGACGGAGTCACTCGCGATCTCCGCACGATCGCAGGACTCGAACCAACACTGATAGGTGAGTTTGATCTGCCGCATAGCTTTATGCAGCGTTTGCGGAATGAATATTCTAGCACACATGCGAATACCATTCTGTGTACTAGCTCAGTATGGGGTACTATGTATTTTAGAATTTATCTGTGAATCGTATCATTTCCTCATTAGTATAGGCTACTTCTAAATCAGCTACAGAACGAAATTGGCAACAGTGTGAGTTTATTTGGATAATGTTTCGACATTATTGCTTTGGGGGTGTGCATGATCAAGGTCGCTATAATGTACTCTTTCGAACACTCCTAAACTCTTATAGGAATACCAGTCGGGCCGCCCGGCTAACGCCGGGCTTTCCTACTTCTTATTGGTTCGCCCGGCTAGGCCGGGCGCTCCTTCTTCCTATGAGAAATTTGCTATGCGTAAATAACACTTCGGATTCTCCTTTTGCTTTGAAAGCTCTACACCCTAAGTATTAGCTCCGAAGTGGGAGCGATTTTTTCTGTAAGCCAACCTCGCTGTGTCCGAAAGAACATCGTTTAATATCACAAAGACGATTATTCAGAGAAAAAAGTATTCAGTGACTTCATTGCGGCTGAGGTTACTATGTTAGCTACCATCAATGTTCCTCAACGCAAGATGTACCTCATTTTCTCTACGGATACATCATTAAATGTGAATCCAACATTATTACCGGTCGGATAAATTTTGCTAAGATGGATATCAAAGCAAAGAGAAACCGTGATCTTTTACTTAACCGCAAATTCTGCTGGGTAGCGGTCGTAATCTAATAGCAAGAAGTGAACCAAATTCATCTCCTTATAATCACACAACTTAACCTTCTTGTCGAATGAAACATATCAAAAAGTCAAAGCTAGATCGTAAATAACAAAGGCGCTAAGAGGTAATTGGTGTGTGGATCTTCTTCTCTGAGGCCTCTTCTATTGTCAGT